AGAAGGAGGGGGGAAGGGGAGGAGGACGGGGAGGGATCAAGGCACAAGCTTGCTTGTGTGTAAAGTTTGTGATTGCTCGGCATGTTTGACATGCGTGCTTGTGGATCAGAGCGGCAGGTGTCGGTGTAGATCGACGTGAAGTCACACCATGAGATTGTTTATCGGGAAACTTGAAGTTAATATATAGCTTACAACACAAGTTACATGAGTGGCTTTCCTTGTCAACTTGATGTTCAGTCTCTCAGAAAGCTTCTCTGAGCCAGAGGTCGACCCAGATCGCTCGGCAGAGCTGAAAGCAGTTCCTGCTTGAAGCGTGTAGCAGGACCGACCATACGGTTGTCTTTCCCTGTCGATTCAAGAAGCTATCATATGTCAAGATGACCACAACGGCTTTCAAGCGGCCGCGCTGAGATGACGCGATGGACAAACTGTCTGCGGCGTTGACGCTAGTTCCCGAATGCTTGGCCCTCGCAGTTAGGTCTACAATACACATCATGTACATATTACCCTGACTTGTATGAAAAGTCTAAATGAAACATGACGTCACGATTGTCACTGTAATCTTTACTCCAGTCTCTCCCGATTTCACCTTCACTTCTGACAACTTCGCCAACCGTCTCAATCCTCTTGCCTTCCCATGTACGACCAGATCAACCCCGGACTGAGCTGCTCCAGCCAGTCCGGACTCATGCCTTCGCCCTCCGTCCCTGTCACAACGCTCGCCATCTGCTCTCCCTCCTCCTCGCACCTACTCATCTCCCCCTCAAGATCTTCCAGCTCTTGGTTGGTTCCCACCTGATCCTGCTGAGACATCCAACTGGCTCCCTCCTCGCACCTCCTCTCCTCCCTCTTCCACACATCTTCCAGGTCCTCCCGCCTCTTCTCCCTTTTCCACACATCTTCCGGGTCCTTCCGCCCATGGCTTGACCCCGTCCTCGTCCCTTGTTCCTCCTCCTGCTCCTCCTTGACCTTCGCAGCCGCCCTCCCCTCCCCCTCCCCTCCCCGCCCATCTCCCCTGCGTCCTCTCTTCCTGGGCTTGCCCTGCTCCTCTCCCATAGCCCCCGGGTAGTGCCTGCTGCGTCCGGTCCCATCCCCTCCCTCCTCCTCTGCCAGCTTCTCCCTCCTCTCTCCGTCTGCCCTCTCCTCGACCTCCAGGGATCGCCCCGGCTCTCCCAGCTGGTCGCCGGGACCCGCTTCCTTGGCCGCCTCCACCCTCGCAATCTCTCCTGTGACGTGCGACCATGTCTTGCCGTCCCAGATGTCTCGCACCGTCTTGCCGCTCACCCCGTGCATCCTCCCGATGAAGGCGCTCTCGAGCGACTTGGGCCCCGTGATGCTGGCTTTCTCCCCGTAGATCTTGAGCACGAGCTCGGGCCTCAGACTTCTCCTTGCACGCGGCTCTGACGGGAGTGACGGGGGGGGGCTGGGAAGGAGCCTCGAGCTGTGCGGGGGCGAGAGGTGCTTCGAAGCTACTGTGAACCATCTGCGGTATCATGGAGGGAGCACAGGGGAGGAGGACAGAGGGGGGAGAGCAACGTGGAGAGACTGAGGGATATGGGAAGAGGGAGACAAGGGAGCGCTTGAAAGAGCGATCAGCAGATATGGTCATTCATGATGCTGCGTGGAAGTCGATTGGAAGATCTATGGCAATGTCAGTTGTTTGTTTGTCATGTTGCATTCAGCAAGGTTTTCATTTCCTACGAATCAGTTTTTTCAACATGTACATGTTATTTTCATCGATTTCTTTCTGTCTTTCATTCATTTCTTCTTGTCTATCAGCTGACAATCAATCATCTTTACCTACCTTGATCTACCTCATCGTTCTACTCCATTCCCTGCATTCCCTGGCCCCATTCCCGGGCCCCGCGAATTGGTTCGTTTCACCCACCCCCTTGAAACAAAGATATTCCCCTGGAAACAATATTACCCCCACCCCCTATTTCCCATCTCTTTACCCACCCTTTTTCCCTCAATTCTCCCACCCCTGAAGGCACAAAAATTATCCCCCGACGAGGGAGGTAACAGCTCGACCACCCTCCTTGAAGCAGTAGATCGTACGGGTGCAGCGAAACCAAAAGTTGATTTCAAAATTTATAAACATTTATAAATTCCTGGAACTATGACCCCCATAATTCCAATCAAATTCTGGTACTTAACGGGGTCCAAGTATGATTAAACAAAATTAAAGTTTTCGCCACCATTTTGAAAGGACATTTGAAACAGATGCCTCTTTCCCGCCGGCCGGCCGGGCCGGAGGGACAGTAGTGGATGTCCGGTCGGACGGTCACTGAGATAAAATTACTCAACAGAATGCAAGGAGGTCGACCTCAGAGTCGTACTGATTTTAACTTAACTTTGAGTAAAGCAGGAACCAAGTGAGCAGCCGCATCGAGGCGGAGCGGAGGAGGAGGCGGGTAGGAGGGCAAGGGGATGTGCAATGTGCGCATGCAGTTCTGGTAGAGATGATGGTGACATGCTGGGGAGGAAGGGGAGAGATGGACCTTGCTGCTTCTGTGTAGGAGGAGGACTGTGAAATATCTGTGTTCAGTGATGTCAGCTCCAGACGAAGGAGTAGACCGGTTGCAGGAACTAGGCAAGGGAAGCAGTTTGGTGAAGTAGATGCAGTGGCTGAAGGGGGGGGGGGGGGGGGGGGGAGAATTGACTGAGGTGATGATATGCTGACGAGGGTGATGTTGGGGATGGGGATGTTGGTTTTGAGTTGGTTTTGAGCTGGATTGTGATCACGACGAAAAGAGACCGATGTGTAGAGATTGTCGTCGATGGAATCATTCCTTTCTTTCTTGTAGTTTTGTCTCCATTGAATGCTTTCTTTCTCCTTTCGTACGATAGGACTAAGTGAGTTCCCGTGTTTCACAGACAAACTTGGTTGATTATAGGAATGAAGTAGACCCAGCCCATGGGCGCTTCTTATCGATTACGCCTTGTGGCATTGCTGCATGCTCTTACACTGGGACGCTCCTTCGTTGTCCTCGGGCCATCGGCTCGGTCGATCACGTCGGCCCAGAAGCTCTGGTCCTCTACCAGCGGGACTTGGAGCAGAGTTCACTTCAGTGCTGGTCTAGTGTGCAGGCAGCAAGGAGAAGAGAGTCATTGGAGGAAGAAGGTGCCTCTCTGAAGGAGCTGAAGGGAGGGGAGCATACTCTAACCCCCGTCCAACAGACGGCTGATGTGATGGGAAGGAGGGCCTCGGCGCCGTCGGGTTACGTTGGGCCGGGGTTCCGGGTTGTTCGGTCGGTGGTGGAATGTGTATGAGATGATTGTTGAAACGTTTTGCAGGTGCTTCTCTCATCTTTCTCGCCGTGAAGCGGACAAGATCGTAGCGGCAAGTTTGCAGCGCAGCTTCGTCTCCTCTTGCTGTGGAGGAAGATTGAAGGGGGTCTGACATTTGGCACAGGAGGGCAGGGTGAAGGTGAATGGAAAGGTGGTTCCTCCCAGCTGGAGGTTGAATGGAGGAGACGTGCTGACTTTAGATGACAAGTACGACCTGTCGCGTGCATCTCGTGGTTGATGAGAACATGACAAGACGAGCAGACGGGTTGATTGGGAAAAGCTGGCGATAACCAATGAAGACAGCAGCAAAGCGGAAGGGAACTATTTCATGTGAGTTGGGCGTCCTGTTGTGTCTGTTCTTGTCTGAAAGAGCGACGCGTGTGCGAAGTTACAACAAACCGATGGGAGTTACATCAACCATGGACAAGAATGACCGTCGGTCTCTTGCAAACACTCTTGTCCCCGCGATGCTCAAAGTCTGTGGAGGTTGAGGAGGTTGTGGAGGAAATTCAATGGTATGCCAGAACGGGATCAACCTGAGAAACACCAAGATCTTTCCTGTCGGGAGGCAGGTGGAGTGGGAGTTGCTCCTAGACCTAACGGGATATCATACAGACTTGACGCTGACTCGTCTGGCTTGCTGCTGCTAACAGACAACGGGAGGTCTTGCCTTCACCGCCTCCTGTTCTCCAACATGCTCAAACGTTCCGCCAGGCTCGCAGACTCCATGCTGCAGCCAAGCAAGGGAAAGGAGAAGGAGTACGTCGTGATGGTATACTGAGAGAACTGAGACTTCCGCAATGTCTCAACCATCGTCGACGTCCAGGTATCTCCAAGGATCAACGAGAACCATCTCAAGCAGCTCGCTGCGGGTGTCAACATAACTACGTTCCAGCAAAGAGACCCGGGAGTGAAGGTCAGCTCCTCCTCATTACAGCGCAGGGTTGATGGTCCTTTCAGAACTCCAACAAGACAAGGCCGTGCGTCGTCGAACGAGCCAACGAGGAAGACGTGAAGCGATTCGTTCACTTCAAGGTCTTCAGCGACCTGCAGAGGTTGCGGTCGAAGAGAGGGAGGGAGAACGAGCTGCTCCGTTTCGTCATTCACGTGATGCTAAGGCCTGTCCTCGGTCAAATTTGGGCTGAACGACTGGCGCGGCAGGAGGGGAGAAACCGGCAGATCAGGAAGATGTGCGAGGCCCTGGGCTATGAGGTCAGCAGGGCCCTGAGAGTTTTTCAGCTCCTCCTCTCACCACCTCCCTGCAGGTTGACTTTCTTCTCCGCGTTCGCTTCGGAGACGTGAGGAGCTGCGAGCGACTTGCCTACAAGTCACCACTGATTCCAGCACAGATCGAGCTGGGGAAGCTAGCGGTCGGCGAGTATAGGAGCTTGAGCGACGACGAACAGGCTCGGCTTCTTCCAACCACCAGAGGTAACGCATGACCAGCTTCAAGCCTCTTGTCCTCTGAGCTGCTCTCCAGCTAAGTGGTCATGACAGTGCGGGGACTCCTTGGGGCTCGGGAGGGTCCCGGGCATCAAAGAGGCTGATCCCATTGGGAAGAGCAGAATGAAGTAATTTCAGCCATGTGGATCCCTCTACGACTAGCCCAGCTCCCTCCCTCCCTGCCGTCCCGAGCTGATGTCTCAGCAGTTCGTTTACGTCCTCTCATTCAGCGGTGCCTCTACCTGTCGAACGGCTCCTGGCAGCCGCGTTACATACCTGATGCTCCTGTAAGCTCTTGAGACGGCCTGGAAACGTCCACTCAGGTATCACAGAGTTGCTGGGGGTGAGTGAACTTCGGGAGTGAAGACACTGCTGGGACGAAGTTGCTCCTTGCAGCTCTCTCAATGTGAGAATGAAAGGGATGAGAATCTCAGTTGTGTCTCGACATGCGGCAGATACAAGGTCGTCGGAATTGTGCTGACAAGGAGGTCGACTCAGGAAGACAAGTGTCAAAGAGAACACGAGTTGTTCTAGATCGTATTCTTACGTTACATAACTGCCACATGAGTGACCGCAGCGAGAGCTCTTAACGTCCTGTCTTAGTTGTACCATATCTCATCTCAACTTATCTTAGACTGACTGGATCTCATTTTATCTTTTTTTTCTCTTGCATTGAAGTTGCTGCATCTCCCCTCCTCTCCTCTCCTCTCCTCTCCTCTCCTCTCCTCTTGCACTGATGTTGGTGCTACCCTGCAGCCTCCTTTCTTTATCCGCGTGTCGCTCCAAGATGATGTTGCCTTGTCCTCGCATCAGCTCATGTCATCTGTGCCAGTCAGCCCATGCGGACGACGCGCTTGATGTTAGGCTAGTTGTATTGCTGATGTCTTGCCTGCTGGACCTGTAGGAGGAGATTACGAATCTTCTCCTAAGCTCGCGATCACAGCTGCAGCTCGTCCCCCGTCGCCGCCTGAATCACCCGCCGCTCCTTGATGAGGCGTATGGCCCCTGCCAGCGCTTCCAGCTGCTGCTGAGCGCCTATGGACAACATTTGGGACGAGATTGAGAAGAGGGAGGAAGGCACAGAGGATGAGAGAGAGAAAAAATGGAGGGAGGAAAATAGCAGGAAAAGAGTACAAGGAAGAAGATGAGTGGCCAAGATAGAAGGAGAGCGTAGATGGAAGAAACAAGAGGGAACAAGGAGGGAACTAGGAGGGAACTAGAGGGAGGAAACGAGTGGGAGGAAATCTAGAGGGAGGAGAGTAGAGGGAGAAGAGTGCGGGGAGGGCAGGCAGGATGCAGACGCGGGTA